CAGCCCAATAAGATTGTCGTGAAGTAAGATTGTCAAGTAAGATTGTCGTGAAGTATGCTTGGCAAGAGATCCAAGGAGCACATTTTGGATTGTCCCAGGTGGCTCAAAGTCTGGGGGCTGCTCCAGGTTCTTGGCAGTGCAAAGCAGTGTGTGAGTGAATGGAGCGACCATTGAGGAAGAGCAAGTGCCCAAAATGCGCCTCTTTTATGATGCAGGGGTGGAAATGGCTTCCAGGAAAGATCATTTCCTCCTGCCTTTGTGATGGGCGAATGCAGGTGTAAAGTGTTGGGCGAGGCTGGGATGCAGGGCAGGGCAGAAGCCTTTCCAAGATCCATAGGACAGGAAAGGTAGGTCACGTGATCTTTGCGTGGGCTGGGGCCAGGAATAGAGGATGCTGCCTTCTGTAACACAGGCTTGGATCTGCAGGATGCAAGACTCTTCCCGGACTGGAAAGCAAGGAGGCAACACTGCCCTTCTCAACCTGTTGGAGCGATTCTGCCTCGTGGTAGTCACAGCCCTCCGGGCTTCGGTGGTGTGCAAATGAACAGTTCCAGTCCAGTCCTTCCAAGCCTGACTCATCTCTGTCCTAGGAAGCGAGGGCATTCCTAACAGCACGTTATTACAAGAGAACAAATGAAAGGAAGATGTTTCTGGACATTAGTTTGCCGCTAGGCTGTTGCACTGGGCCATGCTGTCAGCCCTCAAATAAAAAGCAGCTGGAAGAGGCATCTGAATTGATTCTGTGGGGTTTAAACATCAGAGTAAACATGCCTCGGATCGCTCCGCACGCACGCATATTCGCTGGCCATCTTTGCTTACTGCTGCTGGCCCTTCTGTGTCTTCTGCTCACAAAACCTATCAGGGAATCACAGGTGTTAGGTGAGGCCCTTGGCTGACTTGGGTCATGTGAAGTCTTTGCCCACCCTGGAATCCCCAGAAGGTAAGGATCTCTGCTGCATCCGGAGAAAGGCTAAAGCCAGTCTAGAATCCTGTGTCACACAACGGCCCATGGGAAGCCACAAGCTGAGCATGAGGGCAATAGCCCTCCCTGACTGGCATATTGCCTCTGATACTGAAAGTGGTGTCCTGGTTTGCATGGACCAACAACCCAGGATATGAATGATCCCTGAATCATGGGTTGCTGCTATGTACAGACCCTACACTATGTTTTAATTCTGGGTTGTTAAACAAGAACAACCCAGGAAGATAACCCACAGCTTGTTGCTGGGTTGTGAACTCTGGGTTGTTGGTTAACAGCCCATTGTTTAACTATAGTGCAGGGTTCAGATGTAATAGCTACACAGGATTCAACAGCCCCTCCCCAACTCCATATTCTGGGTTGTTGTTACCTGCCAGCCAGATCAGAATGTTGCCTTCAAGACCAGATGTCATAGATCTCTAATACAATTTAAATGTAGAACACAAGAGCACGGACTCGACTCGGTAATGTTTTGTGAGCCGCCCCGAGGCTTCGGCGAATGGGGCGGCATAGAAATTTTCTAAATAAATAAATAAATATCTGAAAGCACAGCTACTCTGTACTCTAGGAACCTGGAGCGTTAAATGCTCATTGAAGAACATGAGCTGCGGTTTGTTCTGGATGAGAGAGAGATCCACCACTTTTGTCAGAAGACCAAAGCTCAGAAACTCATGATCTTTGGCTCCCTGAAGGTGCCATGTAGATAAGGAAAATAAACAGAAAAGCCTGAAGACCCAGTGCTGGTTCCACCTTAATAAATCTTCAGCCGCTCTGGCTGAAGGCTGAATTCCCGCCCCTGCATTTTGCAAGTCAAGAGAGAGACTGGAGGGCTGTGTTACACTAGCACATTCATTTGCTTGCAAAACAAATGTCTTTTGCCTGGGGACAGGGAAGGCCACTAATAGGGTGGGCCAGCCCCGCACCATCCTGAGCTATGAGTAAAGAGTTACTCATCAGGCTGGTTTGCCTGCTATTGCTAGCAAGCCTGGACTGACACGGACCCACTGCTGCCAGTTTTCACTTTTCACGGGCTGAGGGGTTGTTTCCCTTCTCTCCTCGCATGAAATGACCTCAAATGCCCCTCCACTCTGAAATAAAACAAGTCCCCACACACAGACAAGTAGCAAGTCAGGGAGAAGGGTTTTAGCTAAGCCATGCTAGCTTTCCATTTGAGGGGATTTGCTGCCGCTGCCGCTGCTTTTGGCTCCTCCCAGAAGAACCCAAGAAGAGCCATGCTGGACAAGGCCAACCGTCTGTCCACTACGATGCCCACAAGGAGGACACGAATGCAACTCCCTTCCCACAAGCGCTACGTGGGCATTTCTGTTGTTGTGATGTGCCATCAAGTTGTCTCCGACTGGGATGGAAGCTTTCCAAAAGGCCCTGTCCTTGACAGCTCCTGCATGCAGGCTCTGGTACCGGAGGCAGCCCAGAGCCATCGGGGCTAGTAGTCGCAAGCCTTTCCAATAAGTCGACTCATCCCTTTGCACAAGGAACTGGGGCCCCTTCCCTAACACCAAGCGCCCCAACCTCCAGTGGAGGACCTCCGTGTCCCTCCCAAAGCCGGCACAGCCCGTGTTTGCAGGTGGGGATAGAAGCCACAGCCCAACACGTCAGCAGGGGAAGAGTGAAACAGGAACACTGGAAGCTGCCTGCTACGGAGTCCTGCCATCGGTCCATCCCGGCCAGTACTGTCAACACGGACTGGCAGCAGCGGCTCTCCAGGGATTCAGGCAGAGGTCTTCCAGCCTTGTTGGAGATGGCAGGGACAGAACCAAGGGTCTTTTACATGCAGAGCACCGAGCTGCAGCCCAGCGGTGGTGGTGGGCTTTATTTATGTCCTACTTTTTTTCCTTTTGAGGAACTCAAGGCTTGTATCATTCTCCTCTCACTCTTATCCTCGCCACAGCAGCCCTGAGAGGTAGGCTGGTCTGAGAGGCAGTGACTGGCCCGAAGTCACCCAGGGGGCTCCATGGCCTGAGTGGGCACTAGAACCCGGATCCCTGAGTCTCAGTCTTGCACTCTTAATCACCTCACCAAACTGGCTCGACGGGCGACAGACGCCCTCCTCCACCTGTCTGCACGGGCTGAGAATTACAGGAATTGCTTCTGTCTCACATGCAGCGGACTGCATCCGAAGAGAGTTTCAGCTAGTGGTCAGTGCAGAACTGTGTCAGCAGCCTTCATCTCGTTTTCCCCCCTAACCCGCGTCAGGGTATCACTTTCTCTTGAGTAGATACCCATCCAAGAGAAAGGAGAACGATAAACTGGATGCACCAGCTCTCTCCAACCTGTCACCCTCCACAGGTTTGGTACTGCAAGGCCCATCAGTCTTGACCATCGGCCATGCTTGGTGGGGCTGATGGGAGATGGAGTCCAGCATGTCTGGATGGTACCGGGTCAGAGAAGGTGGGAATTGGGCCTTCTGGTGCTCAGGAGCACAGCTGCCCAGAAACAGATCAGCCCGAAATGCGGTGCTCCCCATGTGGCCACATGAGGTGACCCAGAATCCCACAGGGGTGTCCCAGAATCCTTTGAGGCAGATGCACGTGGTGCACAAGCACAAAGGCAGGCCAGGAGGAAGGGGCCAGGCTCTGGCTCCAAAGCTGCCCTCTCTGCCTGGGATTTCCGCTGCTGCCTGCTTTCCTCGCGATCCTTTCCGGCTGGCCATGCAGGAGGGTCGGCCTGAGGCTTCCTGCCAGGCCTGGAGCTGCGCGCACGCCCCGTCGGGAAGGACGGCGGTTAACTACAACTGCGCGCTTGCGACGGATCGCGCGGGAGAGCGAACGGAGGCTCCTCGCCGCCCTCGCGGTTGAGGGTCTTGCGCCCCTCCGGGCAGCTCCAGCGGAGGCCGCCCCCCCCCGCCGGGTGCAGTAGCGGCCCCTAGTGGCAGAAACGACGCTCTGCGAGGGGGCGGCGCCCCTCCCCCCGCCCGCCCGCGCTCGATCAATCCTCCCGTCGCCTCCCCCCCGCCCGCGTTGCAAAAGGACCCCGCAGCCCTCCTTTTGTGCACGTCCGAAACGTGCTGCGTATTAATAGCATATGCATGCCTGGGGAGGGGGGGTGACGGATGATGGGGGCGCGGAATGGGGGAGGGGAGATCTTGTTGGTTGCCAAGAGAAAGGAGCAGCTGGGCGGGCGGAGAGGGGGGCAGCCCCCAAAGACTCCTCTGTGCTCTTGTCCTACATGCGCAGTTCCTCTCCGGGGGGGGGGGGGAGAGAGGCTGCGGCGCCGTGAGTGTGAGTGTGTGTGTGTGTGTGGGGGTGACACAGCCTGGGTCAAACAGCTGCCAAGGCACGAGTGACGTCTGTGCCACAGGAAACCGAAAGGAGCCTCGACGCGCGCCGCGCTCTTTCGGTCTTGGCAACTTTGCACATGCACAGAGGCAGCCTCGACGTAGCTATATTCGTAGGCCTCGAGGCTGTACCTCGGTCGACCCCTTCCCCAAGCTGGGCTTTTCCTGGCTCAAGTACCGGAAAATCCTCAGCTCGGGGACGGCCTTAACAGGCACAAAGGCGGCGACGGCAACCTTCGTCGGTTGCCTGTCCCCGCATCCTAAAGATACATTGCCCCCGAGAGTGGAGGCTCCATTCGCTGCCGCGTCCCTCTCGGAAGCATCTCAAGTCGGGGGCCGCCGCGGTCCCATCTGCTTGCCCAGGAACGTCAGGATGCAAGCCTGCGCCCACCTATGCGGGAGTAAGTTCCGCTGATCTTAGGGGGACTTACTTTCGAGTAGGCGCGTTTAGGATTGCACCGTCAATTCTCTCCCCGTGCTTTTTAAAAATACGTTCTCCAGTCTGCGGTCCTGGAAGACCCAGAGTTGCCGGGTCCTCTAACTCAGGCTCCACGTGCTAAATACTCGTGTGTGTGTGAGTCCTTGCGCCTGTGCACCCCATTCTGCTCCCCCCCCCCACGCATCAGCAAAGCTGCGTTTGATGGAAACAAGGGGGGAGAAGGGAGGGGCAGATTTAAAACGCGAAGGGGGACGCTGGAAATTAAGGGAAGGCGCGGAGAGAGGCAGGGCGAGGAGCGCGGAGGGAGGCAGGGTTCGGGGGCCGAGAGGGAGCCCCGCCAGGCCGGGCGCCTCCGAGCAGAGCGCGGGCCCGGGAAGGGCCTGGCGCCGTCCAGGCCAGGCGGGCTGGGAAGCGGCCGCGCAGGAGCAGCGGCGTCCCGGGCTCGCCCCGATCCCTCCTCGCCGGCTCTTCGCGGCGCCAGGCGCCTCGCGAGCCGGGGACGGAGGAGGCCATCTTGCCCTGCCTGCCTGCCGCGGCGGAGGCGCGCAGAGATGTTGGGGCGCGCGTGCATTTGGGGTGGGGGGGCCGTGCTTCCTGCAGAAGGCAGACCCGTCGGCGCGGTGGGGCGGGGGGCTTCGACCCCAGGCGGCGCGGAGAGCCAGAAGGGCGGGTGGGGCCCGGAGACGCCCCACGGAAGGGCATTTCGTGTCGGTGCGTGGCGAGGGCGCGCTGCCGCCTGAGACTCCCCAGGCGCGCGTTGCGCGGAGCGACGGATCGAGGGGGGATCGCGTGGCCCGCACTTTGCACAGGTACGTATTCGTCGCGACCCACGCCCCCCTCATGCCGCCGCTCTGCACCTCTCACCTCATTTTACCCCTCCCTAGACTCTCCCCCACCCCGCAATAATGCTTCTTTAACAAATTAATCGCGTGAGACGCAGCCTTAACTGCGCATCAGCAGCCGCAAGCCTTGGGGAGACCTGGTCCATTCTGCAGATGGGCCAGTGAGCGTAACAAACAGATGGAGAATGGCGCGGCGAGACGCTCGACCGGGTCCCGTACACGTTGCTGGTTTGCCGGGCTTCAATGACTGACTGACCCGCTTTCTGCCAGGAGAAGCTGCGGTCTGAACGGGCTTACTAGCCCAGTGCGGCTAGCTAGCTGTTCTCCTGGCTCTTAACCTGGGATCACAGCCTCTTCCCCTTCAAACCATTGTCCTTCTGCCCTTTCTCTCCCCACGCTTCTCTTTCTTGCCTTGTTTCATGGCACTGTCAGGGTTGTTGGATTTATTTAAAAGGGACATTTAATTTGCTTTCCACATGTTACTGGAGGGTTTTTTCTGGCTTTGTTTGCCTGTTTTTGCAGAGTAATAAACATGAACCCGAGCTCTTTGCCCCAAGGATCTTCCAATTTAAAATGCAGCATGGAGGGGTTTGTCGAGTCAGGAATGATTCATATTTAGGGTGGGGCAGCATCCAAATTGCTGCTGTGCTTTGGATGTGGGGGATCCGGTTTGAATCCCAACCCATCCATGAAGCTCCCTGGGACAAAGGACAGTTCTGTGATCCAAAGTTTTCCATGAGCTTATTGTGAAGCAAAGTCTCATCAAAAATTGGTAGGGAAAATGTGGGCTGCACAAGCTACACAACTCTGCTGCCTACAAGATACACAATTCACATTTTAGGGTCATTGTTTTCCACAAGGGAACCTAAGAATCGTTGAGAATGGATCCCTTGCCAATATTGTTAGGTAGTAGAAAAGAACCACTTTACAGTTGGATCTGTTCCTTCTTCTTGATACATGTTTTTTACAGTTTTGGATTTCAGAGAAAGGAAAAGGGAAGATGGATTTTAAGCCCTGGGTAGTTAAGTCGCAGAGAATCTGGAGACCTTGACAGAATAAAATTAGAATCCCTCCCCGCATGGGGCCCTTAAAATACAATGTTCGCAAGGACCTTTTAAGGCTCTAATTTGGGATAGCCTTGCTGGGAGAAAGCCCCATTGAAGCCTGTGAGATTGTCTTCGGGGTAAACATGGAAGGATGACGCAGCCCTTTTGGAGCATGGTCTCTGGGGACTATGGAGAGAAAGCTGAAGAGAACCCTTTTAAAATGGAGACTAGAATGTTCCCTCTGCCCCAGATCCAGTTCAGGAGCATGGGAAAGTCTGCTGATTTAAGGTTTGCTGCTAAAAGGAGCCGAAAGACTCCGAGGGGACCGATACCGTGATGCTTCTCTGCCATGATTACAGGAGCTTGTAGTTTCCCCTACAGAATCGCTGCAGGCGGAGTCATGGCGGAGTCGTGTTTGTTGTCCTTCTCTTCTGCCTGTGTCACCAAATGGGGTGCGGAAGTGGGGCAACAGACATGGACTGCATTCCACTTTAGGCAGGGGAACAAAAAGGTACCGTCCGGGTGATGGAAAAAGACACCCAGACTTGTAAGGAAGAGGCTAGACGGGGGAAGAGAGACTGGCAGTCATGTGCCCTCCAGGTTTGGAAGGGAAGAAGGGGACTAGGAAAAAAGATGTCCTTTTTCTCTCCTTCTGTCCCTCCCTCCCCTCCACAACCCACGCATGAGGAACCGGTGAGGAGGCATGGCATGCCCGCCCGGCCAGGAGCCCCACCCGGCCTGCTCCAGGGATGCAGGAGAAAGCCTGAAGGGAAGATGCCGCACTGGCAGGAGAGTCCCTGCGTGTGCATGGAGAAAAATGGCGCTTGAGCACCACTAGGAGCTGATACGCACAGATCTGCGTAAGCGTTGAGGAAGCGCTTTTGAGCCGATGTGAGTGTCCTGGGATAGTAACATAGAAACAGAGCGAGTCAGAAGGGGCCTCCCGGGCCATCTAGTCTGACCTCCGGCACCAGCCGGCTCCGCTCACGACGTGCCCACCATGTGCATGTCAAACCCTGTAAAACCCTGCCAGGAACTGGGCTTCACTGGATCCAGGTTTAAGCCCCAGCAGCTGTTTCTACTTCCAGCGCTCAGTGTGGCCTTCTCAATTTGTGGCTGGAGGTGTTACTTCAAGCTTCTGCCATGTGCTTGACTCTTGAGCAGTCCCAGCTTCCTGGCCTCAGTTCTCCCATCAGTAAAATGGGAGGAAAGGGGGCTCAGGGTAGGGAAGTGATTGATGTGAGGAATTGCCAAGTGTCCTTAAGAGGAGCTCAGTCCAGCGTTCTGTTCACACAGCTGCCTCCCAAGGGTAGCAGCTGCCAAGCCTTGCTTACAGACTTCCCAGGAGCATTTGGGCTGCCCACTCTTGGAAGCAGGGCACCGGTTTAAAATGAGTGATACAGTTCCACTTAGGAAACAGGCCTTCAAAACCATCTGTGTGCATGGAACATGGGCATGTTGTTGTCTGCAGTGCGGTGAAGGATGGAAATCGTGAGAATGTGGCCGCTCTGGTCAGGCGTTTGGCAGAGATGGGGAGGAGCAGGGAACACAGTTCAGCAGCAGCAGTGAGTCACCTACTCAGACTTGGAAAATCAGCATCAGAGAGGAAAATCCCCATTGTGTTTGGCTGTGTGGCAGGCTCCCACTTAATGCGCTCATCTATATATGCACCAGTGCTGAAAATAGGTGACAATGAAGCTGGAAAGTTGACCCACATGGCGTGAGAGCGGCGGTTACCCAGGAGGAAGACCCTGGGAGGCTGTCCCGTGCCGTCCATCCCGTTCCTCAGAAATGTGGGGTGTTAAGTGATTCTTACCGAGGTTGCAAGCTCCTTGGGGAAGTGGCCAGGAGGGAAAGCAAGGGAGGCAGGTGATTGGTGGGTGGGGGCAAAGTGGGGAGGAGGAGGCAGAGAAAGGGGTGTGGGGAAAGGATGGCACTCCAGGTAGATTTGCGGGGGGGATGGAGGAGCAAAAAAGGAATGGAGGGTTTACGAGGAAGAGGAGCCGGGACGGAGGAGGGGGAGCCGCTCTGAGAAGCCAGAGGCAACCCACGCAGTTCTCACAAGTCTTTCGTGATCGCGGGGGGGGGGGGGAATCTAGCCGGCTTCTTTCAATGAAAACCTCAAGATCTGCCTGCCAGAGCCAGGTACAAACAACCCCTCTGAGAGTCCCGTGGCACCTTAGCACATTTGTTCTGGCACAAGCCTCTGTGGACGTGGGCGCTTTGCTGGAGTCCCACTCTGCGTATGCTCGGGGCGTTGGGATCACAGGCTGCCTCACACGGCTGCGCACTCCAGGTTGTCCTCCAAGCGTTTTGCATTTACCCGAGTTTGGGAGGTGCAGGGGTGGTCAGGGGCTTTTTAGTTCTTGCTGTTGTTAAATCACTGCACTGTAACAACAACTTGACACATGCCAGTTATTTTCAGTTCCTGGGTTGCTTAGTTCCACCTTTGTCAATTCCCAAATACCTCTGTGTTGTTGTAATACTAGGTATTTTGTTTGCTTGCTTGTTTGTTGAGGCTGGCAAAACAATTCATGAACAACCCATAGTTCTGGGCTCACACAGTTAAAGCAAACGCAAGTTCATAACCCCAACCACAAACCATGGGTTCTCTTCAGGGGTTGTTTGTGGTTAAACATGAATAGCTTCCAGGTTGACACTTAAGCACAACCCAAGATTCAGTGATAGATGCTCAGCCCATCCTCCAGCTTGTCTCGATGTGCAAAAGTGTCAAGTTCTTGCAGGTCTACAAGAAATCTTTTAGAGATACCAATGAGTCGGAATTCATCTACTAATCTGGTAGCTCCACCAAACTTCCCCCGTTACCTTTACTCTCCCCGCTTTAAGTTTTTCCCTCTGTTAAGATCTTGGTTGTAAACTCTTTGGGGCAGAGACCTCTCTTGTCTTCTGGCAGCATCCTCCATGATCTAATGGTTCAGCAGCTGCAGGGAAAGGTCAACCAGAATGGCCTCCAAACTTGTGCAAGTTAGGGAGCCAAAGAAGGACAAAAGGCATTGTCACCATGACTTGCAGCACTGAAAGTCAGTGAAATGTTTTTGTTTTTTTTAAATCACACAGCTGCTTTTTTAAGGAGGCTTCTCTCGGCAGAGCTCAGTGGCTTTCCTTGTGAATCCAAGTATTGCTCCCTAGACATCCCTTTGGGCAGGTGTGTTTTGGGAGGCAGAGATGGCCATGGGACAGTGCCACCTGCTTGCTGACTTGGCTCACGGGGTGGCAAAAGCCGGTGTGCCGGGAAAGACAGATCCAGCTTGCGCCAACCAGTCGAGAACAAGCTGGCTTTACAGGTTTTGCCTGCCAGCGTCCGATTCCTGACATCTTTTATTTGTGCCTTTGAATGCAAGCCGTCCTTGGAGTGCCACATTCATTCTGAGCACGTGGTGAAACACAAGCATCTGTGTGTTCCCTGAGATTTGACATACGCATGAAGTGTGACTTTGCTGCCCTTTCCCTTCACATCTCCGTGACTTTTCCCCTTCAGAAACAATAGGCCTCTCTTGAAAGCGACGTTCCGAGCCTGGCAGAATGTGATCTTGACCCGCTTTTCGGCAGGAGGTTGGTGCTGGAGCAAATGTGCAGGCGCGACGTTTGCAAAACATATTTCCCGTTCGGTGACTCCCGTGCGTCAACTCAAGTTGGCCCAATAAATAATGTCATTTGACCTACTTTCTGTCTCCTGTTATTTCTCATTTGAACTGCTGCACGAGTACAGAGAAGTATGAGGCATGGCCCACATAAGGAATGCCCCCGTCGCAAGAAGGCGTGGGCTTTAATCTGCGGGCAGGTCCTCACCAGGGACTGGAGCCTTGACAGTGGCTGGGCTTCTTGATACTGCAGAAGGGAGCTGGTCTACTCAGAAGGAAGCCCAACCGAATTCAGTGAGACTTGCTCCCAAGGAAGTGTGTAGGCCACAATCCTAAATGCTGAACGCAACCCCATGAGGACTTACACCTGAGTAGACCTGGCCAGAATTACACTTAAATTGCTGTCACCTTTGATTGTGGGCTTTAAACCTCACTTTCTCATAATACCAAAATGAAGGGATCCGTTTTAGCAAAGCTGTTCCACACAGAGTTTAATTTAGCCTCCCCCACCCTGGAGATATACAAGCGTGCAACTCCGTCCTGGCTGGCTGGGAGTGATGGGAGCTGTAGTCCAGCCCCCAGCTCATGCCCAGGGTGCCAGTTGGGAGAGGCTACTTCAATTTATGGCATTTGCTGATCTACAGATGGCCTTCAAAGGGCATCACTGGTCAGCTCAGGAAAATACCGGCCAGCTGGCAAAGGCAGCTGGGGGAACTCCCATTCCAATGTCATGGATTGCTTCTGGCGCTCTCTCGGGGGTGCGTTGTCAGCAGCAAGGCCTCAGCAGATTGTGATGCTTACGTGGCATGTCCATCTCGCCCTTTTTCCTCTTGTGTGGAACCCAAGAGCCCCCTTTATCTTCACAGCAACCCTGTGAGGTAGGCTGTCAGAGAGGCCGCGACTGGCACAAAGTCACGCAGGCAGCTTCATGGCCGAGTGGGGACTAGGCCCCAGCTCTCAGACGTCAGTGGAGGTGGCGGAGGGCTGCTGCTTGGAGCTGCAGTCCTTGTGCTGAACCAGAAGCCCCGAGGTTCAGCTACTGCAAGGAGAGTTCAGAAAGGCTCAGTTCTCAGGTTCTGTGGAGCCAGGACTACTTCTGAGTGGACACCCAGGACCTCTTTCTGCTCAAGGGCCAAATTCCTTTCCGGAGAAGCTCTCAGGAGCCACATTCTGCTGGTGGGCAGAGCCAAAGGCAGAAAGGGTGGACCAGCGAGCTCCAAATGTCAGTATATTTTACCAGAGAGCTCTGGTAAATGGCAACCCACTCCCGTATCCTTGCCATGAAGCCCCCGTGGGCAGCATCAGAAGGCTAAAATGAAGCCCTACGGCAGGTATTTTGACCTTTTAGAAGTGGGTGAGAATCCTCAGAACCGGTGGGGAATCATTGGTATTAGAGGAAAGGGAGAGGTGGTGGGCTTTTCTGGAGCCCCTCGGGGGCCGTACTTGGCCCCTGGGCTTGCAGTCCTGCACTCCTGATGTAGGTAATGCCGAGCTCCGAGGCTCAGGGGTTCGATGGAGGGCTAGGCCCACAGCGCCTGCCACATCCTCAGGCCAACGTTGGCTGAACTGCGCATTGGCCTCCAGATGTGCTGGGTCACAGCTGGAACAGTGGAGCTGCAGCCCAATGCATCTGGGACGCACCAAGGCGGGGAAGCACACCAGAAGGACACAGGCATGAGAGGCGGAGTAGGAGAGCGCAAGGGATAAGTCCCAGGGATAAACTTGTCCCTATTTATATGCGGCACAGTATTTGCCAGTGGCTCCTACCTAATCCCTCCTGCAACTGGCTTTCTCCCTGGGTAAGGAGGCCGGGCTGCTATGTGGTTCCCGCGCGTGCTTTCCTGCAGTCGAGTGGCCCGCATGTGTCTTTACGGTCCGTCTGCTTTGGAAAACCCCAGGAGGAAATGCCAGGACTCCTGATCCAGGCGTGGGTTTTGGCATGAGATGGGGCAAGACGTCCCCTGCACACATAATGCAGAGGCGGCAGGCTTCCCAGAGATGGGAATCCGGATCCACTGTGTTCCTGAGGGATGCTCCTAATACTGCCATTAACCTCACTGGCCATTCTGATTGCCAAAGCTATGCAGAGAGGGAATGTGCAGAAAAGGTGCTTTTAGGCCCCACACTTAATGGCCTTCCACACAAACATGTGTCCCCTTTATGATGGGGGCGTAGAACCTCCAGGCTGGGGGGGGGGGCAAATCTGGGCATTGTAGAGTCCCCAAAGGCAGCCGTCGACACCAATTCCTTGGTGGCTTCCTCAATTTTGTGCAGCCCAGGTTTAAAAGGTTGAAAGGCCTCTCCGAATATCCAATTATTCACCTAAAGGGCCTCAAGGAAAAGTATGCAGGCTTTTTGTCCACACTCCTTTAGCTTTTGGCTCCCATAAGTTCCTGAACTGGAATGTGGTCATGGGGCAGAAGGAAGTTCTGCAGCCCCGCTTTGGCATCTCCAACAGGCTGTACTCTTCTTCCCTGCCCCCACCACCCGGTTATGCCTGCCTACACGCCCTTAATGACAGCCCCTTTGAGGCTACAGGAATGGACGGGAACGCACCTCTGCGGCCCTGATGCTCAACCCTTTCACTTAGAAAAGAGCCGCGTTTGCTGTAAGAAAGGATGACGCCTCGGTGGAGTCCGAATGACGACGTGGGCAGCCCTGGCTGCAGTAGGGCAGCTTGGTGCATCCCTCTCTCGGCCAACTGCAGCTTCAATTTAGTGCCCCAAATCTACGCTTATTCTCTCAACTGGAGTATTGTGCTCAGTTCTGGGCTCCACATTACAGGAGGGATATAGCCAGGCTGGAATCAGTGCAGCAAAGGGCCACAAAGATGATGCCCGGATTGCAGGGGATGCCGTATGAGGCGAGGCTGAGGGAACTGGATCTCTTCAGCCTGGAGGAGACTCAGAGGGGATCTGTTGGCGACATGCAGGTATGTGAGGGGGTGCCACACGGAGGTGGGCAGAGACCCATTTTCCCCTGTGGAGGAGGGCAGGATGTGCTTCAATGGAGCAAAGCTCAGGGAGCCAAGTTTCAATTAGGATGCCAGGAAGAACTTCTGAGGCTGTGGAATGGGCTTCCATGGGAGGTGGCTGAGGCCCCATTGGTGCAGGTGCTCAAGGACAGGCTGGATGTGCACAGGGTGGGCATGTGAGCGGAGCCGGCTGGAGCCGGGGGTCAGACTAGATGGCCCGGGAGACCCCTTCTGACTCGCCCTGTTTCTATGTTAACTATGCCACCCACTTGCAACTCAAGGCGCCCTCTCCCACCACCACCACCCTTTACTGGGGCTGGGGGCTTGGCGGCAGTGCAGCCATCTCTGCAGTGCAGTGGAGGGCTTTTGTCAGCTCCCTCGCAGGCTGGCTGGCCCCCCTCAGGCTGTTGCGTGGCCAGGTGGCCACTGCAGGTCCCGCACAGGGCTGATAATGGGGGACAGGCTCCAGGGCCCCGTTGTTGCAGAACACCCTGGCCCTGGGTGGCAAAGCTCCCTGCTACATCACAGCGGCCCGCAGAGGCCCCATGAGCAGTGGGTGACACTCCCTTCGCTGCTGTGACCACTACTCTCTCCTGCCACAGAGTCTGGGGCTGACAGCACCTCTGCTTAGCTATGCAATCCTGCATTTGGCAGGAAGGAAATCTTGGCTTGGGACTCGATCCTTTGGGATCTCAGAACTAAGGACACTTCCTAGATCCTGGCGGAGAAAGAACATCCGGAGCTGCTTCATGCTCTGAGAAACCCTCGGTTTGCCCCATTTCCCACTGCCCCCAAGGGGCAGGAGTTTCTCCAGCACTGCCCTGCATGCCGAGGGCTGAGCCCGGGGCCAAGCCTTCTGCACGCAGCGCCCGACTGCCGCGGAGCTGCGGCTCCACCGGCTTGCTCTGCCGCGGGGAGCTGCATGGAGACAACCGGCGCCTAAAGACAGAGACGCTTCATGGCAGAGGCCTGCCTTCCCCACCCGGGGCCTTCCAGATGGGCTGGACCGCAACCCCCATCGTCCCCCGCCTGGGAATGATGGGCACTGCAGACCGTTCAGCCCGTGCGGAGGACACGGGCTGCGGGGAGGCCTTGACGGCAACCCTCGGCTCGCCCTCTCGGATGTGTCCGCATGCGAATCCGCAGCCCGGCTTCCTCCCAGAGTCGCTGCTAGACGCCGCCGGCGCGGCTCTCCCTCGCCCGGGCCGGGCCGGGCCCGGCCAACCCTCCTTCTCCGGGCCCGGGGCATCGCGGAGAGCGCCGCCGTCCGCGCCTTGCTCCCGAGGGAGCGGCGCGGCGCGGCGCGGCGCGGCGCGGCAGCACCGTAGCGGCCTCGGGCCAGGAGGTGCAAGCGCGCCGCGCGGAGAACGGCCCCGCTGCAACGGCGGCTCCCCGGGCTCCGGATGCGGGCGGGGCAGCGCGGGGCCGGCGGCGGGCGGCGGGCCGAGGATTGCCATAAAAGGCCCTCGCGGAGCCGGCGGGCGGCCGGGCGGGGCGGTGCAGCGCGGGGCCCGCTGCAGGCGGAGCGAGCGGCAGGAGGGGGCGCTGCTGCTGCGCGGCGGGGCCCCTGCCAAGGCTGCCGAGACCCCCCTGGACGGGGCTCCAGTTCGAGCCGTCCCGGCGCAGATCAGCGCCGTGTTCGTGCGGCGTTGAAATCAGGCCGGGAGAGGCAAGGTGAGGCTTTCTCCGCCTCGCAGCCTCCCAGTCCGCTTCATCCTGCGAGCTGTTCCCGGCGACATTTTTGCGCTTGGCGTGATGGATTCGCGCTGCGTCCCTGCCCTCTGCCTAGGGGCTCGGCCCGCGCCCACAGGAGCCATCCCGTTTCAGTCCGCAGAGCAGCCCCGGGAGGTAGGCCAGGCCGAGAGGGAAGCCGCTGCCACGCTCAGCTGCTGCGCTGAACAGAGGCTCGAGCCCGCGTCTTTCTGGTGCTTTCTCATGTTGCCTTAGCAGACAGGGTAAAGGCAGATGTGGCCGACTTCGAGCTGCGTGGCTGGCCTGGAAATGCCCGCACGGTATCTGTCACACACGCAGAAGCGCTGCAGGGGGAGCCATCCTGTGAGTCCGAAGCGAAATCCTGCGGTGCAAGGTGCCAAGTGCCCCTTCCCCAA